GAATTGTGATAATTAAATGCGGCTCTCCAAAAGATTCTCGTGTAGCATTTGAAAGCGATAATTTGAAGATGAGGAGCAAGAATTATGATATTAAAATTAATAAACTACTTAATCATTTATACTTAAAATTAAACGTTAGTCCGGAAAGTGTTCGTTTAGTACAAAAAAGAAAAACTCATGATTCGTAAATGTTTATTAATATTATATACATGAAATATGTGATAAAAATCCAATGTGTTTCAAATACTAGTAATGAATTCAAAATGTTTAATTCTTGGTTCTTCTAAACATGTTTTTGTTACAATCGAAAATTGAAAAATTCACTGAAACCTAAAAGAAAAGAAATTAAACTAGGTGATGATTTTTCTTGTTCACTTATTAATTGTGTTTTAGAAACCCAATATTTCCTCTACATTAATTAAAAACCTTTGAGGAGTTAAGAAGGTTTCAAACATGCAATGCCTCAATAGTTATTTTGAAAATTATTACATTTCTTATAGCAGTTGCGCTAAATATTCCATTTGTAACTTAATTGCTTTAATTTTACATAATCAATTATTACAAGAAATATATTTTTACATATTTATCATGCCTCCTTTAACAAAAATTTTCGTTACAGGTATTAGATAATTAAAACTGTGACAAATGTAAACAAGAGGATTTGATTTTTGATAATAAATGTGGCTCAGTGTCCTTGTCAAATGCTTCATTATTCATAGAAATTAGATTGACGATTATGTAAAATCCAGTATATAGTCCTGTTTGAAAAATACATTTTTCTTCACTTATTGTGACCCAAAATAAAAGCTACTGAAGATTGTTTTGAATAACAAATCGTTTCTCTCGTCTTTTTTTATCAGCTTTTTCTTCCCACTTTTTCCTTTTTCTTCCTTTTTTCATAGAAACAGAAATGCATTCTTAAGTTTCATAAAAACTATGCATTTCTATTTCATAGAATGCATCATAATATGTATAGTGTCAGCATATTATAGAGAACATCAGTCTTTTAAGATCTTTAGGTAAAGTAAATTTATACAACACATACTAAGGGGTCTATTTAATTTTTTAATCTAGTCCATGACGTACACAAGGATGTCTTTAAGAAGATACATTTGGCTTCCAGATGAAACTTCCATCCTGTCTCAGAAATAAAGATGAAAAATCACCCTCACGGCAAGAATGGCGATGAACTATTTTAGCATCTCGAGTGTTCTGATTAGGAGTCATGTCATGTCTTCTGGCCTTCGTATCTGCGGATATCATATTCCAGAGACATATTTGATGTGAACAGTCGGTTTGTATTGTTTCAGGTTAGATGACTCAGATTGCTTGATATAGCTACTTAACCTATATTACTTACTATATTATATACACACATTCTGGACCCTCAAGCTATTTATTCAATTGAATACGGAATGTCGCATTTTAGAACATTTACTCAAAAATGCTATTTTATTATGATTTACAGATTATTATGTAAACTTACATCCAAGTCAACAAGTCATTTAATTTTATACTTTTAAAATGATTTTTTTAGCAGATAACGCATACCACTCCTGCTGTCAAAACAGTTCTAAAGTCAAATTATTACCGTAATTTAAACTTTTAATGCATAAGTTAAAACCGTTTGTAACAAGAAACTTTCTGATTTCAAAATTTAATCTTTCTTTGTGATTGCCGCATATTTTAGTACGTAGATTCCATTACAGTTATATTAGATTGTGCTTAAAAAAGATGAATTATTATTCTCAAGTGAGAATATTTAAAAGCAGTGAAAACTTCACATTGAAAGATAATTTAATTTGTTGAACATATACTCATGTTCTGCGTTGCCTTGCTGCTTTCAAAATTTATTCTGATTATCATTTAAGAATACATAATGTAAATAACTAAGTATTACGCTACATATATAAAAATTATAAAAACTTAGGAAATAAAATAAATTATATGAGTATCCAACGTATCTTTTTTTTTTCATTTCTAAACAACAAGAAAACGCGTACTTAATAAGTCGTACTAATTATTTGATTGTCATACATTATTAAAAATTGTCATCATTTCATCTTATTTGCACTTATTTTGTGTAAGTTTTGAGCGTGGATTTAAAAAGAAATTAACAAATTATTTTAGTTACTTTTAAGTTAAAATAGTTCGTTCTTCAATTAAGAACATTTCTTTTTTCTTTTTTAGAAGTGAACTTCAATTTGTTTTTATTTTATGCAATCTGTCATTATCCAAGTAAGTTTATTTTTAACATAATAATTTCAAATTGCATACGTAAGTACTAAAATATAATTGTACAAAAAATAAACAAATTCGAATAGGAAGCAAATTATCCTCATATTTGTAGAATTTAGATGCATTACCAATATGTATTCGATGCAAGACACGGCACGGATTGAAGCATGTGTTTTATTTAACATTTTAAAATTTAAAAATATTTTTTTTCTTAATGTTTTTAAATACGCATAAATATAGCATTTACTGTTTGCTTTTTGATTTTAACCATATGAATTAAATACAAATAAATGTATTATACCGTAACATATAAATTTTACAATTACTTTAGTTGCATTACTTAACGCAGATTAAACAAACCAAACGTAATATAATTTATTGGCTACAGATTTTATATTTCAAAAAAATCTACATGTTATCAATTCATGATAAAACATACTTTAAATGTACAGTATTGTTACATGAAATTTATGCATGAACGAACTGATTCCATCTAGCTAAACATTCATTTAATCAGATTTAATTTACATACCATTTAGAAGATCAAGTTTTCGGAGCAAGAAAACAGTAGAACTTAATACGTAAAAGAATATTCCAAATATAATATCAGGTATTACATGCAACATGGCGCTTAGTGGTAAACAAGCATCAACAAAGTCATGAAGTTCTTCTCTGAAACTCGAATTCTCTAAACACTTTCCGCAAACGATCAGGATAAAATTTAGACTTCGCAGAGAAGATTCAAGGACAAATTAAATTGCAGTAATACTTGCTCTACGTAAACGTGGTGTGGTTTACGTAATGTATTAGTATAATTTTCATCTCTAGACTTTGATAACAAGCACAAATTGTTTTATATAAATATTACCAACATTAATTAGTGAAAGCAAAGATTTTCCTCTTTTCTAGAAATGTTTGAATTTTCTCTAATTACAGAGGTTTTAGCAAAAACCTTTACTAATGCCTAATGCACATAAAAACCTTCTAATCCTTACAGCTTTTATTCTAACTGCTTTTCGCTTAAAAACAAATGATTTTCTTTACAAAGGTTCGTAACATATGACATTAGAAACAGTGGTACCGTAAATGTTCATAATGTTGTATATACACTATAAGTTAAGTGAATTAAATTCATTAGACATTATCATTTGGCTATATTATTTAAGTAAATACGGAAATTATTATGAAGTGCGTTTATTTTTTTAATATTTTGCTTCATTGAGGAAATTTAATAACAGCGAGTTGAAAGACAAATGAATTTTATTACTTTGCGTCGAACAGCAATACTGTAAAGAACTGCCAAGCCACATGAAACTTTAAGTGCTATATATTTTTTTTAGAATGCGAGTATATGCTGTAGACTCCTTGGATGAAATTTATGTAACTTTATGTAATGTAAAGGCCAAAATATTGTAAAGACTCCATTAAAGACATTTTTAACATAAAAATAAGTTTTCAGAGACGAAAGATAATACTAAAGTAGGTATGTTAGAATTTTTATGCATTAATCGGTCAAATAATCAAGTGAATATATTAAGGCTTAACTTCGGTAAAAAGACGTTAAGCTAAAATTAGCAGGAATTATATTTACATCTGTTTGTATTTTAAAAAAGCATCTTTCAGTACATTAAAACAATGCACTATTTTTTTCAAGTATTTCACGTATTCTCTTAATCAGTACACCATAATGCACAATGCATACCTTTAATGTGATTTTACATGGATAATTCATCAAAATATTTTCTGCCTTATATTTCATATGGTATACATATAGTATATAAATCTGTACAATCAAATAAAAATTATCAATGATAAAACATTTTTCGAGAAAAAGCTAAAGTTTTCTGATTTCGCAAAAGAAGCACTAATATTAAACGGAAAAGTGTTTAAAAGGTTATATAAAAAATATAAAAAGTCTATAAATTATATTAGTTAAAAGTCTATATATATATATATATATATATATATGTTTTTTATATTTATTAAATTAATGAGTTATTTCATGCTGCGCGATGTTCAAAGTACTATTCTAACAAAGCGCAGTAATATGGTATTTAATGTTTTAAAGAAATAATTATTTACATTTAAGTAATTTTTTAGAACTGTAGAAGATGTGTAAAATACATAATAAAAAAACTATCAGAACGACGTTTAATGAAAAAGACTTTTCTTCTGTTTAAAGTAATACCATATTTAACAAATAATTTACTTTCAGAAAATTATTAAACAAATGTGTCTTCAAACGAAGGAAATTTTATGCTGTTAGCCTTCCTCCATGATATATAATAAAGAAATGATGAATTCATTATGATGCAGACCCTATTTTTTAATGTTTGATCAACATTTCATAGCTCATGATAACACTTGAGATAAAATATACGTAACAATAATTATAGTAACAACAAAGCGCGTCTAAGAAAGCGTAGGCTATGAAGTCTAAGAAAAGAATAAAAATTAATTAGTTACGTCTGATCATTTTACTTCATTGCTGCTTTGTTAAATATTTTCTTCAGTTTTCAATCAAATGGGATTGGAAGTGAAGATCTTACTTTTTAATTTAAATAGTATTAAAATGTGAATTTGTTCTTTTGTTTATCAGATGTATAAATATAAACAGACACCATTTATCTGTTTCTCCGCGATGGTTTCGATTGCTTTCTTTCGTCTGAAGAATGTACTTGATAGAATGATCATCATTCCGGAAGAGAACAATGATTAATTATTCCATTTATTAAAATAATTCAAATCGAAAACCAACTCACCGTTGACAATGTGTAACTTCTGTAGCACATAGAGAAGGGAGGCTATGAAATGACCCACCATAGCCAGAGCGAAACGTCCGAATTCCATCGTGGAACACAATACAAAAACAACACACACATACACACTCGACCAGATTTCAGACCAACAGATCGTACCCAACAGCAACAGCGGTAGCCAGTGCTCCACTAACGCTGTTCGCTAGTCCGTCAGCAACTCTGTTCTGCCACCAGCCATCTCTACTTACAAGGTCAATGATGCGCGGCAACTCGAAACTATTGTCAGACCAGGAAAGGAGAAGCAGCATCGCTCCACGGCGGCACGAGGCGAAGTGGCTTCTAGGTTGCTCCTGGGGTCTGTCTGCACTGCACGTGAGCGTGTTCGGGGGTGTAAAGGGCATGCAGTGTGAGAGACAAGTGACGGGGGTAGGATGATTGCGATGGCAATATTATGACCTGCGATGGAGTTACTACCCACTATTTCGTGTGGCGTCACGCATTTATAGTTTTGCCGAGAAAAAACTCCAGGAATTCAAATTCAGTATATTTTAGTCACGTTATGCGATCGCCATCATTAGGTACAGTTTAAAAACAAGGTGATGTTTAAAATTCCCATAAAGAATCGGAGATATTTCTTTATATACATTACTCATGTTCTGATATTTCCCTCACCTTTTCTTCTTTCCACTCTGTGATAAATATTTTTGGAGTCTTGGGAGAAGGGGTTGTACGATTTTAGATGATATGAGTTACATGGTCAGCTTCTAAGTGACATAAATATCAATGAACAGATTAAATTTTTGTAGTATCAGATCCTCGTGTAAATTCTCTTGATCTCAAAAAATGATTAATTAAATTTAAAATTTACGTGAATGGTCGGATTTTAAATCCGATAAGATGTAAGGCTAAAGTTAATTTAATACAAAATATACACGCCCAGTGGTCCTACAAAGCTGGACACTAAGATAGGCTTAATTGGAGCCTGAAGCAGTAAAAAGATAGGCGATCCTAATAGAAAGTCGGAAAATTATTTTGAGCTATTAATACATTTTTTACCAAAATGTATTAAACGAACTGAAATAAATTACAAGATGTACTTTTTGACTCATTTTGGTGATCTGCTGTTTTCCAAAAGAAATTTAATCCTATTAAAAATAAAAAAATATATATTGTAACATGATTGAAATGCTGCTATTTTCAAGTCATCTTGAAGAACTTAACAAATCTTCCAAAACTTTTGCTTCTACACTAAAGCAAAATTTTATTTTTTCAGTAAGCTGTTGATAAAGTTTATTAAATTCAACCGAAAATCCTTATAAATAAAAGTAAATAATAACAATATTTTAAGGGAATCTGAAGCTCTTACAAATGTTTAAGTCAAATCATTTGCATAACTCCCATAGTAATTGTCCTATTAATGGCCGAATGGCAGCTAATTACTCGTAGTTCGAGTTGGGCTTGACTTCAGACAAGCAGGCTGGGTGAGGGGTTGATTTTCCTAGTTTTCCTTATGTATAACGTGAATATGATACAGTTCCCTTTAAATTTCTCCACGAAAGCATCCCTGTCCTCAGTTAAAGAGTCTTCGGTTGCTTTACTATATTCAAAGAACCTAATAAAATTTTAAAATGTGATAATTATCACAGAATGGTTTCTTAATTACACGCATTTGTTAAAATTGGGAGCAACAAGTAGCTGTTAAATTACATTAAAAACTAATTCGTCCCTAAACTTCTCCAAAATTTTAACATTACTTCTGAAAAATTTATCAACTTTTGTACAATTATTTTTCATAAGTTCTAAATAATTTTGGAAAAAAAAAATTTCTCAAATTTTTCAAAAGCAAGAATATGATGAAAAGCATAGAAGAATGCGCAAATCTAGTGATAAAATAACACATGTGTATGAATTGTACCTTTCAAGAATATTATATAATTTTCTTTGTTAACTTAATGAAATTAAAATATATGTAAAAAACATCTGCAATATTCAGAAATTCTGCGATTATGTTTTTGTTTATAAAATAAATAAAATTTATATCATAATAAATCTGAGAACTAAAATGAAAGCTAGAAATTAACAGTTGACTAAAATGGATGAAAGGGACACATTCGAATTTGAGCTCTGTTACTAAACAAAAGTGAAACTTGGCGTGAAAGTATTTTGCAGAAATCCTCGATATATTTCAAAGTAATCAGACACATATTCGGTTTCAATAAAGCAATGGATAAAATTGTTAGCAAATGGACTATAAAAAGTTAATACTTTTTCAAGGATGTGCCTTAAAATTGTTTTTTTTTTTTTTTTCACCGTGTGATGCGAAGCAGTCTTAGGATATTATCTCCCAGGAAATAAATTTTGTAATTAGGCTCTAAATCCTAGATCACTAATGTCGTATTTCCTTTCTAATTTTACAGTAAACGATTTTCTTCTGTGGATTGTTTTCACGCAGCAATTTATATTTGTATTTTACTAAAATTCTTGATCTGTAAAAAAATGTCATATTTTCTCTCTGATCTTACTGCAAACGACTTTTATTTTCTGTCGCTTGCTTCCAAGCAGCAATTTATATTTGTATTTTACTAAAATTCTTTATCTGAAGTTCGGGCAAATAAACCTCAGCAGGTTTATTTGCCCGATACGGGTCGACGACAGGAAATGAAGCCTTTTCTCTTGCCTTGTGTTTGCTTAAAGTCCTTTCCTTAGGTTATGATTTATCTCAGCAGCAAGAAGAAAAAACATGAGATTTAAAAACTGAGTGGAAGTAATTTAGAATTTTGGAACAACAATATGTTTTTTGAATGGCAATTTCTAGGAAATTAAAGAACCTGAAATGGAGATTCAAATATTTTATTGCTTGCTATTTATGCTGAAAATGCAGTAATGGCTTTAAAAACAGATCGCTTTCGTTTTCAGTGAATTATTTTTACTTTTATTTTAGTTTATTTATTTTGATTTTTATCTCTATTCCTTCAAACTTTATTTTTCACAATATATTTGATTTCTGAACGAATTTTTAAACTTAAAGCAAAAATACGAAGCGTATATCATACATCTCCTACAGCTGAAAAATTAATGCCAACTAGACATTGCTTCTTACAATAAATTACCACTTAACATGTTTCACACAGAGTAACATTGTGTTAACGATTTATGTTTAGGTCAGAATTTTGGATTTCAGTTATTTTTACCTCAAGACAGAAATAATTTAGTAAACTTAAATTTAGTAAGAACTTGCGATTTCATAAAGAATTTTCTGAAGATTTGGATTTTTGTCGTACTTTTTGTCATTTATTAAGTTATGTTTTGTCATTTCGATATGAACTAGGATATTTCTTTCAAAATGTTTTGAGGCGAATTCATGTCGGATAATAAATTATTTATACAGAGTGAATTTCTAAAAAATAACTAAAATTATTAAATTTTTGGGCCAATAATTATAGTTTGCTGTTACATAATATATAAAATTATGATGTATTTTAAAATCAGATATTTTTCATCATTATAGTGATTTTTTCATACTAAATTTACAAATTGATAATGATGCAAATCATACCTTACGAAAAAGAATACTAAAATGTATTATTAGAAAGCAACTGACTAGTTATGCATCATAATAATTTAAAAAATATTCACTCAAATTGCACAATAATTAATGTAGGAATGTATGTAATTTATATCTACGTGTATCCTTCTCTAATTATTAATAGTTTAAATTTAAATTCAGAAACAGATGAATAATCGTATAGCGAAAAGTATTCGTAAAACGCTGCAGAAATTTGAAAAATTATTAAAAAACGTTTAAAATATGCGACGCTTATTTAATTACAGTAATTGAATTTTAAAATGTCTACTAATTTTATTTCGATAAAATTGCTATTGTTATATTAGGTTAATGACATTTTATAAAGCATTTCGAATTTTGTTATTCGATAACATGCAAAAAAATGGTTATTGGACCTTGCTCATTTTTAAAATTGCTGAGCTAAGTGAATATACAATTTTCTTGAATAGTTAAGTGGGGAATTTTTTAAAAACTTCATCATTAAATGAGACTAATACGAGTCTAATAATTAAGTTATCACCTCTATGTCATAGAATCTCAGTTAGTTACAAGAAAGATTCGTTGACGGAACGTAGTGCAAAAAATATTAAATCTAAAGAAATATTATTTATTATGCATATGATTTTCGGAAAAGTTCTACGTTTCTTCTAAAAAAATTAAATAACTGTAATTTAAGTTTACTAAAGAAGATCTAGAAATCTAAACTAGCTAGAAAATCAAAGCAGTTCTTAATGCCTGTTGATATGCTGCAAATATATTAAACTGTAATCTATGGTAGGGCTTCTATCATAGTTTTATATTCAAGACATCAAATGTTTAATAAATATCGAATATTTTATCTGTATGTTTCAGTAATTCATGTCTAATTTCCAAAACACGTATCTTTACAAAATAACATTATGGTTCTTTTAATTAAAATTACAATTTTCGATTAAGTATTTTCTTCGCAAAGTTTCTATTCAAACATTGTATGTCACTAGACGCAGCAACTTACTTGCTTCACACAGCAGATGTCTTTCTTAATTCATAAAGTAGACATTTACGAATTAAGAAAAACAACGAGTCAAAGAGTTTGCCTTCTATACATATCTAGAACATGCCGATTTTCCATAAATCCTTGACACATTGAAGCAAATGAAATCCTTAGTCAACAGACAGGAAAACAGGTGACAAGGAAATTTTTTAAAATCTTATCTTTATCCTGCTTAAAAAAACCCCAAAAGTCTTTCTTTTCCTTCAAAGCGTAAGGGGGGGCCGGTGCCTATATCTTTCTAAAGGATGTATGAAGAAAAAAGAACAAAACAAAAAAAGAAATTTCCTTTACGTCTAGAGGTAGATCATGATTGCTTAACAGATACGCTACGTTTGACTTTGGTTGGAAAGTTTCAGAGTTTCACGGAGAGTGAGAAAGGAATGTTATTATAATTTGCTCGAGAAACGCTCATTGAGGGTAAATTTTCTCAAGGTTTGTGGTTGTTAACTTTCCAAAGAACGAAATAGTTGCGGTGTTGTAAATGCTGGGAACAAAAACTGGTTGAGCTAATACTTCCCAAAAAGAAGTATTATTTAATCATAAGCATTATTTCATCCCCATGTATATTTGTTTTAACAATAAATCATTTATATGCGTAAATAAAATAATATACATGCAACAAGTCTTGAAAATTTCAATTAAAAGTTTTCGCATTTACTTGCAAGCAAAGTCTTGCTATCATTAGTAAGCAAAGAATTCAAACGTGA